TCTTTTACTGTGATTCTATGAGCACATACTTTTCAATTTCTTTTCTACTAGAGATCCTCACAACAGAGTGATACAAAAAAATGGTTATACAACTGATCCTGCAAAAACTCATGTCAGAAATATTGCCAAATTCACTGAGTAAATGGGAAGTTACTTTCTATCTAAATTTGGAAGTTCTAAATTTGAAACCGAACTTAAAATTAAAATCCTGTCTGAAGGCAGTAGAATGAATAACACTTAAAATAACACTTTCATAAATATCAGAAAACATAAATTTACTTTTCCCAATTTTGTTTTTTAAATAAAAAAAAAAGCTTCTAAAAGGTGATTGATCCTGGAAGCAATTCTATTTTTCTTAAAAAACAAACCTGCCACCAACACCTACCTCCTTTAAAGCCATCCAAACAGCCAACACTGAAGGAACAGTAAAGTGAATCACTAAATCTACACTTGGTTGTTGGGGGGTATTCAAAGCATGTTTCATGAAGAACTCCCTCTCCTTTGTGATCAGACTTCTCTCATCCCAGCTTTGACAGTATACTTACAGTGAGGAAATGGTTTTCATAGCAATGAATAATTACTTTAACATTAACAGTAGTTAATAGTAACTACATAGATAGAATCTACTCCAGCTTCTTGCTGAACCCTTCACTATGTTCCATTGCTCTCAGACTTGCCTCTTTCCACCTACCCTGCAATTTCCTCTTTACAAGGCCCATTGCCTGAGCATCTTCCATGCTCTTGTAGCTGCCCTAAGACCCGTTCATTGTTTGTTTCACTGGCCAATGATCACGCTAATTTAATCAGCAGTTCCCCTCTACTGCCAGGGCTGCCAGCACAGGAGCCTAACACAGTTCTCTGCTTAGGGCTGTTTGCTACCCCTTTGCTATGAGGACTCTGAACTCCTTCAGGAACCACTGGAAACAAAGAAAGCCAACAAAGAATTACAGAACCTCCCACCACCACTTTGATAAATATAGGAACTCATTATTTAAAATATCTCATTCAGCCTCAGTAACAGTGCTCAGTGACAAATGTTCTTAATTGCCAATTTAAAAAAACAAAACTCACAAGCAAAAAAGAAGTCACAAAGCTTCAATTATACTTTGGAATTTATATATCACAAGTTATAATCGAATTTCATTAAAAGAGCCCACACTGCACAACAGTACACAATTCAGCAGATTTCATGCTATGCACATTTACACTCTCCAGTTGTGATTTTAAGCAATTCAGTAAGATCATGGCATGAAGCATAGTTCCAAAGTCTCTTAAACATAAATGTAGTGAAACATGCAGTACTTTCTTCACAATAAGAAACAATTGAGTACAGGTGGCTTAAGTGAACTAACCTTTTTTGCATGAAGTTCTACTGTGCATCTTAGTGGATCATTCTGCTTCATACAGTTAAGTAGAAACACCCTTTGCCCTTTTTTTAACAAAGGTTGCATCTCACATTTTTACTGTTAAATTATATATTTTTATATCTACACATCTCCTTTTCATTATTCCCAAAGCTATCCTACTTATCTGGCCTCTTCTTTTTCTTTACTGTACACCAGTATCTCATCATTCATCCATTTTAAAAGACCTACAACAGCCTTCCATCCTCAAGCATGACAGCCGTCAAATCTTTGTATTTCCCTTTTTCCTTAATGGAAACATTTTTCCACATCTACAAGGCCCTCCATAGTTCTACTCCCCATAAACAATGTTGGCTTTAAGTTCCTATTTGTTACTGTTAGGAAACTTCACACTTGAGCTGGTCTCATAAGACCCCCTAATCTCTTCAAACCCACACTTGCCTATAGCAGCTGACCTATAAATAAGAGATGCACTGAGCGGGGGAAGCTGTTCATTATGTTTTAAACACTTGCATACAGAGACAATGCCTCCATGCACAGGGACCTGAAAGCAAGAGCAAAGTTAAGGCAGTTTTCTGATATGCTGGATGTACAAGTGCTCTTAGGAAACCAAGGATGTGACAAAAACTTGCAATTACTCCACCGTGTTTAGTCCAAGGTAAACTTGGAAGCCTCTCTCCAGAGAACGACTGCCTCTGTACACAGTTTCTTTCCACAGAAGCCATGCAGTAAGCAACTTTGAAAAATGCTTTGTTTGCACTGTATCAGTATGGAGGGCTTACCCGTAACACATTTTAAAACATGTTTTAAATAGAATTGAATTTCTCACCATGGATTACAATTCTACAAAAGATTCTGCCATGAATATTAAAAAGTAAGCTGTTACAAAAAATACCTTGAAACACATACTGAAGATATTAATAGGAGGTGGTTCTACCATTTTTTACTAATTAATTTTCAATCAATTCCTGCTCCTATATTTTACATGTGTGCACTCAAATTTTGACATTTAAATGCCATTCTACCTTTACCACAAAAACATGAACCAGTCATGACTGAATCAGCATGCTACACCACTGAATCTTCCTGTTTCTCTTCAGAGCTAAAATAACTAAGAGATGTACAGGAGTTCTTTCTAAACATTGAGTTGAGAGGGAGAGATCAGGTTAAATCGGCTTTATGTTCAGTAGTAATACTCTGACCTGATGTCCTATTTTGTTTTCTAAGGTATGAGAGAAGAAGAGATTGTTTGGGACTTTAATTCAGTTTAGGAAAATAAAACTAGAGATATTTCAGTGGCATTTGCTTTGTTAAGTTCAGCTAGATCACAGGAAGGCAGTAGTAGTAGAAGTTTCAGGAAGGCTCCTGTAGTAGTTTCAAATCGAGCAGCACTAATTTTAAAATAATGCACAGCAATTACAAAAAATAAAAACCACTCAACTTCTCTCCTCCTCTCTAAAGAATGCAAAAAGAAAACAAGACAGACAATTATAGTAGTATCAAAGCCAATTAATACTCTTCGGTCATATAAAGGCTTAGATGAAAAACGTTAGCACTCTTGTAGCACTCTTTTTCCACTCTGTCTCTAATTGCAAAACTAAGGGAACACTATAGCAATAGCAGCCCTTCAGTGTAATTCAACAGAGAGAAAATGGTAAATTATTTTGTCTTTAACACAATAGCAATATGCAAATATCCATTACACTACAGCATTTCACCTATATTTTAACACCTACCTTCAATTCATACTGACAGAAACATTCAGTACATCAAAGACAAATTGATATCCTTCTGCCCACATCTGCTCAGCTTTGGTTTATTACATACAGTACACAGGATTTAACCTATTTTTGGCTGTTTTGAATGTATTTTACAAAGGTGAAACTGTGGCCAAACCAACCTTGCTAATGACACACACAAAGAAAATCACTTATTTACATCAAACAGTACAAATGTTCAAGTCTTAAAATTAGTAATTTCCCTCAGACTGTTGAAGACTACTTCCTTCTTCCAGTCTCTTAACACATGCTGTGAAAACACCTGCTTTCAGATCAGAATAAATGAAACTTTCCACTGTCTTAACAACTAGGAGAAGGTACAGTGGGATGGTTGCTTTTTTTTTTTAATAAAACTGCAAATAATTCATTTTCCTTCATCCTGACTGCATGCATATATGCTTCAGACTATTCCCCAGCTATTAAATCCAGCCAGACCCTGGAAGAACTTCAGAATGTCTTTCCTATCTTACAAGACTTCCAAAACACAAATAAGTAAATGCACTCCCCACATAGAGCCTCCATCCTCCAGATGTTTTCATATATGCATGATTCCACCAAATGCAGCTCTGTTCAAGCATAAAAAATTACTGACTGTAGCAAAACGAAGCAGAACTGCAAGAGTATGTGGGACTAATATCTTTGGACAGGTGAACAGGAAATAAAAGAGGACACCTCTGTATCCTGAAAAGTAGCACGGAATAGCAGCATATGGGCACTGCACATGTATTTAATTCTGAGATTACTACACTTTCAATTATTAGATACAATGAAAATCAGTGTATTAACAAAAGAGGGCATGTTTTCATAATCCATCTACACGCTTCTATGACATTAACAGTGATCTACAGAGCCTCAGCACTAAGTCAAAGAAGCAAAAATAAAAAGAATTTGTATGAATAATTGGGTACCATTAAGACTTTCTTTGGTGTGGAACTAGTTTTTCCTAAAAAGGTACTTGAAAGACACTTCTTTTATTTTAATGTAACTATTATACTAAGTAAAACTATAGCAACAATAAATGTGTATGTACCCCAGAATTTGTTAGCTTTATACAGAATAAAGAAGCACTGATTTAAAGCTCCAAATTCTCTACTTCAATACTCCACCTTATACCTTGACAAAAACGCCAATTAACAAAACAAAAGAACTTTTCCAAATTCAGACAGTAACTGCAATTTTCTAAAGTCTGGCTGTTTGTTTCCTAACACTGTTTATTACCTGGAAAATCCTACTCTTTTCCTAAGAAGCAGGGATACAAAATAAGATCAGTTAAAAAATACTGGGGATATTACTACTGTTTATAAACATGTAAAAACACAGGAGGCTGACTTGACTGTGAACATACTTCTTAAAAGCTCCTGTCAAGAAAGGCTCTAGTATGTGCTACCTTTGATCATCTATTAAAAGTTCCACATAGCAGCTAAATACAAAGAAGCTTTTTTCATTTCTGCTGGAGTTTAATCTATGGAGCATGTACCTACACAGTACAGCACCACAACACACTAAACTATTAAAAAGGATCCAAAACAGCTAACATTTATTGCTAATGAAAAATCCAGAAAAAAACTATTTCGTGTTATCAAACATCACGGTATGTCTAAATAAGTGTGACATACTAGCTAAAATAATAAAAACAAGGGTTTATTTAATCTTTAGGGCTACAAGGAAAACTACCATACCTTGTAAAAAACAGAAAATTATGCGATTGCTTCCAATTAAATTCCCATTTTGGGTTCACTGCAGTCACCCTAACTGAGCAGAAGGTGCATTTAGTGTAAGACATCACCTGAATGATAATGGCTAATTTTAATGAGAAATTAATGACTGCAAAAGTAAAAGTTTGTTAAAGATAACTCACCACCATCCCTCTCTCTAACTCTGTGAGTGTGCACACTTTTTGCCTTACTGTGCCCTGTGTTGTCACCGTATTTGTTTTCAGGGCTGTCAGAGCGCCGCAGCATTTTATTTGGTGGCGAAGGATCTGTGGTGTCTCGCATCTTGTCATGACGGTGATCACCACCACTGGGGTGACTCTTGGATGAGTACTTAAGAGCCTGTAACAGATCACAAGAAAACGGGCATTCACATTGGATATGAAGTTTTGGGATTTTTTTCTTCTCTTTCAAAAGTATTTTTCAAAGTTAATTAATTTTCATTTCATACTAAAAAAAACAAAAACCCAGCATTAGTCTTCCTAGTTTTAATTACCTACATTAAAGCAACAAGTTCTGTAATTAGAACTCAAACCACTTTCTCCCACTATTACCTTCAATGTAAAACTTGCTGTTAAGTAGAACCTAGTTTTTCTATCTTTTCACTGATAGATTACACACATTCAGTAATAAATGTGCTACAGTTCTTCCGCACTTTTGGGATAAGAACTAGTCTCCACTTGTTATCAGGAAAACAAACTTCAAGTTACACTGAATCAGTGTAAACTTTGTATATGTCCTCCACACTCCAGTCAAGACCATTCAGTTTCACTATTACCTTGAACTTTGGTGATTTTTTTTCAGTACTAACGTCCCTAACAGGGGCAATTAAAATAAAATAATTCTAGGGGGCCAAAACATATAATGTAATAAATCATTCTCAAATTTTTACCAAAAATTGCCTCGCTTTAACCTGCTAAGTTTTGCAGTGTAAACTCCTGAATGGCTAGTGTTTACATTTACACGAACTGTCACTGACAGCTGCCTTGGACTGCTGTACTGCACTTCAGTGATTCCAATACACAGAAATGCAGCAAAACAATTCAATTCAGGGCCTACGGAGAGCAATATCACAACACACAGCTTTCTACAAACTCAAACCTCGACAATTGGGGTTTTTCAGTAGACACAGCAAAGTGCAGTATCCACGTTACAGAAATTGAGGCTATTGTCGGTAACTCAAGGATTTGATGGTTTCTGAACATGCCTAGCAGCTGGCAACTGCAGAAATCAAGCCTCACTTGCAACCCCAAGTTGGTCAGGGTCTAAACCCGTGCCCTGCTCAGGTTACAGCCCACAGCAGCAGTTTTGGGGAGAAGAAAGGACTTTGGGGAAGGGGTGGGGGGGGATGGAAGAACAAGACTCCTTTTGTTTTTAGAAAAAAAACATTCACCTCTCCTGGGTCTCCACTCCACCGTAGGTGACCCCGGCTCCCTCTCCCACCCCTCGCACCCTCCCCGACTCCCAGGCCCGAGCCCCGCACGGGTTGCACTAGGCCGCTTCTGTTCGCCCCGGCTCCGTAGGCCTCGGCCAAGCACCGGGGCCCCGCTCCCTGAGCCAGGGCCGCCGCCGCCTCTCCAGCCCGCGGCTCCGGGCCCAGAGCGTCGCCAGGGGCCGGACCGGGGCGGCCGCGACACCGCGGCCTGCGGCGGCCGCCGGAGCCTCCGCTGGAGTAGCACCCCCCCCCGCTTCCCCTGCTCCTCCTCCCGGCCCGGCTGTACCTGGTAGGGCTGCGAGTCCCCCCTGCGGTCGTGACAGCTGAGGAGAGAGCGAGAGAAAGAGAGAGAGGCGTTAGCGAGCGCCCGGTACCGGCCCGCGGCCGGGCCGAACATGGCGGAGGGGGGGGGAGGCGGCCCCGCGGGGCCGGGGGGGGGTTGAATTTACCCATCACTGAGTCTCTGCTGTTTCCTCGCATACATTACCATCAATGCCCGGCCTGTGTGTGTGAGGGTGAGGGGACCAGGAGGGCACGGCCGCGGCCGGGCCACAGGCGCCGAAGGGGGAGGCGGGGGCGGCAGCGCTCCGGGGGCAGGGGCGGGGGAAGGGGGTGGCTCGGGCAGCTCGGCTGGAGCGGCGCTCACGGGCCCATCGCCTCGAGAGGGGAGACGCCGGCAGCTCGGCCCCGCGCGCGCTGAGACACACCGGGAGCACCGACTCGGCCACCGCCTCCCCCCGCCGCGCCCGCCGCCGCCGCCGCCGCCGCTCCAACTACATCCGGGGAACTCGGGCGACGCCGCGCTCGGTCAACGTCGGCTCTTTCCGGCTCTTTCCGACGCGCTCCGTCCCCTCTGTCCCCTTTGCTCTCGGGCGACTCTGCCTTCGGTAAACATCGGCTGCGTCCGCCGAGCACGACGCCCTTCAGTCCCTCCCTTCGGCAAACATCGGCTGCCTCCGCCGAGCACGACGCACTTCAGTCCCTCCCTTCGGCAAGCATCGGCTCCTTCCGTAACGCTCGGCCCTCCCTGCCCCTCCTGCCTCGGCCCACTCTCCCGAGCGCTACCTGTCTTCGGAAAACATCGCGTTTTTCCGGAGAGACGTTTCCGCGCGGCCGTCAGGGCGGTGCCGCGTTCGGAAACGCTCGGGTATTTCCGTGACCCCTCACAGGCCGGCGTGGCCGTTGGCGGGCGCACGGGGCCGATTAGCCGAGGGCAGCGCGGCCTCGGTGGCAGAGCCGCTCCCTCGGTGGGGAGGAGGAATCGCGATCCTGCCAGGCAGGTGGGGGCAATAGGGGCAATTGCGGGGGGGAGATAGGAATGGGAAGGTCTCCTCTTACCTACCCCCTCCTCCCCTTCCGCCCGGGTACTCGATACACCGGCAGGAGCCATTTTGTGCGCGGCGTGTGTTCCACGGGACCGCGCTCGGCGGCGAGGAGGGCGTTAAAATGTCCCTGGGAGGGCGGCCGCGCGGGTCGGGCCTCGGCCCCGGTGTATCTCCGGGGGGTGTGAGCGGCGGGCGAGGGGATCGTTCGTGGCCCCGACACCCGCCTTCCGGGTCACCCCAGTGTTCGGGGAGCTCCGGGCGTTCGCTGTGTCGCGAATATTCTCTGCTGTTGTTAGTGCTTCCTGAGCCCCTCAGGGGTGTGAGGAGCCATGGCCATAAGCTAAAACACAAGAAGTTTCACCTCAGTATGGGGAAGAGCGGCCTCGTGTTGAAGGTGGAAGAGCACTGGAATAGGCTGCCCGGGAAGGGCGTGGAGTCTCCTTCTGCCGAGACATTGAAAACCTACTTGTATGCTTCAGGTGACCCTGTCTTGCCAGGGGGTTGGACTGGATGATCTCCAGAAATTCCTTTCAACCCTAGCCATTCTGTGATTCTGTAATTTTTGCTTATTTCTGACCGGGCCCTCGAAGTTGGAGGTACAAAGCATTCTATATTCCGGATTTTTATAAAGGTATTATAAAACATATCACAAGTGCTTTGATACCGTTGCCATGACAGTGTCATAGGAGCCAGCAGTTTTCACTAAAGGTTTAAGAACATATTCCACAGCTTGTCCTGTCCCCTTCCTGAAAAAGGAAGAGATGTGGCACATCTCAGAGCGAGCATGTTAACCTTAAACAGAGAACCTTGCCCCGTGGCTCCATATGTGCTAGTGAACCATAATTCATGGCAACACTCTTACAGATTTTTTTTTTCTGTTTGTTTGTTTGTTTTCCTTTAATTGGAGTGCAGGCGGCCGTTGCTGAAAGGGGACTTCGGGGAGTTCAGGATGACTCAGCAGGGAGCTGTTCTTCAGGGTTACAATAATGAACTAGTGAAATGCATTGAAGATTTATGTATGCAAAAAGAAGAACTGAACAAACAAATCCAGCAAGCAGAAGAAGAAAAGAGTAAACTCCAGCATGAAATCCAAGTCCTCAGTGAACAGCTGGAGTGTGTATGTGAAAACCTGGCCCAAAAGGTGGCTTCACGGAATGAGCTTGATAAAATACTTGCTGAAACTGAAGCTGCTTACATGAAGATTTTGGATAGCTCTAGAACTTTACTTAATGTCCTGAAGAAGGAAGTGGGAAGCTTAAAGCATTCACCAGATCTGAAAACCAATGTAACGTGAAACAATCAAATGTTTGGACTCTGCAGTGCTAAAATTCCACTAGGTGAGAAACGTGGTCAACCACAGAACCTTACAGACACAGTATAAGCAGAGAGGGATTTTCTTCCCAGTCTTTCTGTATGTTTTATTATTTTCAAATGCACTAGAAAATAGATTAAATAAAGTTACCATTTTGCTTTAAAAAAATCTACTTAATTGAACACTGCAAAAATTAGCAGATAGGTAGTTGAGGCAAATGGGAGACTGTCAGTTTTGACATCATGATGCTTCAAAGCTTAGAAAAAAGGCCTGTTTTATTGGCTGACTTCAGATGGCTCCCAGTAAATTTTTCTGTGAAAACCAGTGGATGCAAGTCAGTCTGATACTACTTATTTTCACTTTATAAATGCTTGGGCTTTGCTGTTGGGACCAAGTGGAAATGAGCTATTTAGCTTCCTGTAGGAGCTTGGAGTTCTGATACGTGCACAAAGATAGCCCCGTTTACAATAATCGACTACTTGAATAATAGAGGGATAAGGTGAGAAATCAGGAGTAATTCAGGGCTGGAGGCTTAAAATTTAACACTGTATGTGGTTCATGCATCTTCAAAGTTCAAAGCCTTGTTTAGAAAGATGTGCTGCAGTGGAAGTCAGGTTTGGTACAAGTGCACAGACAGCTACACCGTGAACACTTGGGCCAGTAATTCACTTGGGGTAAGAAAAACGTGTCAGTAGCGACTAGAAGTCCTGAAAAACCACTGAGGTCCAGTTAAAAATACAGAGGTAAATGCAAGACCAAAGAAAATAATCCTGGCTAAATGCCAGTAATAGAATTTCTGGACGCCTTCTTAGTGCCTTTTAGCTCTATACTGATCTATTAAATAATTGTAATAAGATTGTGGAGAATAATGAACATCCTGAAATTATACAAATATTATACAAATACAAATGAAAGGTGAAAGAAGAAAATGAGAAGTGGTTTGCAGCTATCAGCCATTCTTACAGAGGACATTAAAGTAGAACTTAGACATCAGGGATGACATAACAGCATGGCATAAATTTCAATTTAATGCAGTTTTTTGTTTCTGCTGAACCTCTCTGTTCAGCAGAAATCTCTCAGCAGTCTGTGTGTTTACGTACACATGCATTTTGTCCCACTTGTGTGTTGCAAGAGTAACTTTTTAAGCTGTGTTTTGTAGTAAAATTTTCATTCAATGCAAATTAATTAAATTGAAAGAAGAGCAATTGAAATCGCCTCACTTGATAGTGGTGTGTCTCTCAGGTGTACATATAGAGGGAATGGAGATGTGGATAGTTCTGGTAATAGCTCTTCATCAATAATAGGGAGCAAATTTTATGTCCTTCTGCTTGCTAAGCTACATCGGGGTGAGTGTGACTAAGCTAATCACAGTTTACTTATATGGCACTTCCAGGGCTTTCCCTCTGGGGAATTCCCAGTGGGTAATGCAGAGGTGATAAAATTACATAATCTCAGGAGTATTGCCCTTGTAGTGCTGCAGCACTCAGGAACACCTTGTTTATATTGAATTGAAACACAAAATTTTTGCTATTTTTAGTAGCAAAAAAGTGATTTATTTGACTGGACATTTTATGACATTCTGCCTGCCCTTAGACTGGTAGTAGTAACTGATTTGCAGCAAAGTAGGAAGACTCAGAAAAAGTACTGACTAAAGAGCAAGAACTTTGAGTTGCAAATGTAAACTGCTGCCTCTAATTAGCTGCACTGGAACTCGAAATTGTGAAAAGCAATTTGTATCATAGAAAGCTCTTTTATAGAGAACAGTACAGTTCATTTCTAGTATTGGTCTCACACTGGTCTCACACAATAATTGTGTGAGACCAAAAAACAAAGCAAACAAGTTTGTTTGCCGTAGAGTAATCATAATAATGCCTCTTGTTATACTGAAGCTGATAAAACTAAAGAAGCTTTAAGAAAAGTCTTGTAAGACTTTAAAGAAATCTACTTCACAGCCATTATTAGATCTAGTTGTAGCTATTACAGTATCAAAACTAAGATGTTTGAAGGTTTTTTTCACAAAACTAAGGGAAAAATACAAAACTAAGGGAAAAATGTAACTGTTGGCTAGTACTTAGGCTCATACTGGGGCCTCCCAACATTCAAATAAAAAGTTGAAATGTTGCTAGAATTCCATTCAGTGATTCCAATCCAAAATTTCCATTTAAATTCACATTTAAAAGTGGAGAGAAATAAGAAATCTCTAGGGCTTGCCTATTTTTATAATAGTTCTAAAGTGTGGCAGTCACTGTGCACCTGTAGAGTTGCTACTCAAAAATAGTATTTAACGTTGTATTCTGTATTGACCCAAATGAACCCTTTTATTCAATGGTAACTTTTTTTCATTGCTTTTTCAGACACTATAAATCTTGACATGAATAGCTTTTGTTAAACAACTTCACTTTGTTCAGAAGACATGCAGACTAAAGTTGATCCAAAGTATTGCTGGAAGAGAAATGATAGTTTGCAGATGGCAGCAGCTCTGCAGGGATAACCTGAAACAGAAAGTTTACCTGGAATAAGGCAGGTCATAAGTTTAAAGTATCATACTTATTCCTAACTTAATTTTTATATTGAATTTTTATGACTCTCTGAGTTCAACCTGGTGCTTCACTGGAGTGCTTCCAGTCTAGGAGCCTTACAGATAAAACTGCTGTGTTGGGTATTCTGTATCTTATTAGTATGTGAGAAGACAGTTTTTGAAACTCCTACCTGTGTCTGATTCAGAGATTTAGTGAAATGCAGCTAGAGCATTGGTCTAAAGTCCTGAATTAATGTAAAGGCACCTTTACCTGGTTTCCAAATAACAGAACATAACTGGAAGAGATCTGATGATTCCCTGCTTTTGTAGCAATGCTTCTTGAAAATGTGCCCAACACTTAAAACACTAGTGATCAACAGTTTTTTCAAAACATTTGACTGTTGACTCCTTATGGGTATTATATTGAAGTAGAAGTAATTTTCTGTGTGGAAGTGATTATAGGAACCACTGGGTGAAGTGCTTATGCCAGCAGCCATTCACACCCATTACTGTTTATTTTCAGAGGTGCTTGCCCTGCAGTTAGGTACCTCCCACATGCAGTTTCTGTTAATCACCTTACAGAAATGGAGGTGAGTGGACTGGGGCTTCACCCTAATTTTAAGGGTAGGGAATAAATAGAAGGTATGGATGTGAAGTCCTGGTTTGGGATGACTGGAGCATGAGGGGGTATGATAGAGAGAGAGGTGGAGTTTCTCATAATTTCTGTCTGCTCTAAGTGTACTTCTACTGAGCTACTGCCTACAGTTCTTCCTACCCAGTAAATTAAATTTTAGAAATGCTCTGAGCGTCATCTGAACTCTGGACTTTCTCCTCCTTCCTTTAAGCCCACTGACAGTCAGCAAAAGAGGCAACTTGTGTTTTGTTTTCTCTTTCTTTTATTTCTTTCTGTTCTAACAGGAGGCTATGGAATCTGAGCCTTCTGTTTGCTGGGTAAGTGTGCTGCCAGGCTCACACAGGATGCAGTGCTGTTGTTTCCTGTCCTGGTTCTTCTATGAACAGTCCTCGATGAACTGCTTGAGTTTTATGAAGAACCTCAGGTTCTGTGTGTACTTAATGTACTCTGTATGTCAGATTGACCTTGAGAGTTTAGGCAGAGGATTGGCAGGTGTTTTGGCTCTTGGTGAATGGAAGAGATGTGTTTCCTTGGGCTAGGAATTGTTCAGACCAGGAAGAGGAGACGTCTTCAAATACCCAAAGAGCTGTGCAGTCAAACAGTGAAGCAAGCTGAAGTCTAAACCCAGATGACTGGATTTTGGATTGCTGTTTCAGAATTGAGAATCAATTCCATCTAGGTCTTGGGGTACAAGTGTGTTCCACTCCAAATCGATTAAGTGGATTAAGCTAAACTAGAACAAGGTGCTGGTAATTCTGTAAAAAGGTCATTCTGAAGAATGTTAGCCAAAGGATCAAATGTCTACAGTTAATTCATCATACAGATGAGCCTTGTGCAGAAGACCAGTATCTATTACTCCTTAGATGATTTTGCCTGTTAGGAGAGATTTGAGTGATAATATGTAGCTTGTGGCAGTTACCTTAACTTTGAATAGATCCTAAATTCTTCGGGTTTTATGCAAGAACTAGACAAAACAGTTATAAAAATAACTTGTTTTATTTTTAAAATTTATTTTCAGGAATGAGCATAGAAGTATTAATAAATACTTTAGTATTGATTTATTTGTGTGTGTTGGTGATTTTTCTTAACAGATGAATAGGCAAGTTTTCCTAAAATCAGAGTGCTCTCTTTGCTTTAATGTACGTGTATGTTTTTAAATATAGATGTAAATATTTTCTTTTTTCTCTTTTGGGTGAAGGACAGACTAGCCTTTGATTTAATTTGTGCACCAATTGCTTTGTCAGTGTCTGTTATTTTACTGGGGTGGAGACAGGCACCATGGCCACTTCTTGGGTGTCTGTTCTATGCCTTTTTTTAAACTTGGGATGGATTTTTTTTGTTCTTTGCTGCTTAACTATTTACAGATATGTCAGGGATTTTATTAAGTGCCCCAGAGTAGTCCTTGATGGTTGTCTACCTCAGCTGGTTTCAGATGAAGTTTGGTTCACTATCTCTGTAAAATCCAGCTACTTGCATGTTAGGTGTTCATAAAACATGGAGAGGTTCAAGCTTGCAGAACAGGGAGCTATATGGTCATTCATAGCTCTAGCTTGTGGGGTTTGTGTGAAAAGTAGTTCAGTGTGTTCTGTATTTATAGAAATAAAATGTTAGTAGAATTGAGGCTAGTGGAACACTAATATTTTGTAGCGTTTTCAAAAGCAGTTTTACAAGATCTTGTGGGGTGGAACGATTTGCAGAGTTTCTTGTCTAGTTGTGCAAGACTGTGGATATGCTGCAGAAACTGCTGCAGAAAATTTCTAGGTCTTGGGTGATATGTACAAACTTGGGTGTCTTATTTAGCAGCACAATGGGAAATAAGAATGTAAAATATATGCATTTTGATTATAGCACACTCATTGTTTCTGACCCAGTGCAAAGCTGATAGTGTTTTTAAGTATGCTTAATTTGAATGTCACAAATGGGAAAATGTTACTTTTAGAATAGGATTCATCCATATTAGAGGAAAACAAGCATATGTAGACAGAGATCATGGTCAAGAAAAGGCATTTGAAAAAAGTCCTGGCAGTCATGCTCTGGAGCTGGGATTGATTGTGATTCCATTGACTGTGGTGGGAGCTTGTTTCTCTCACACCTCACTTCAGGGCCTGTGAAGTTTCTCCATGGGGTTTCTCCTCTCAGCCTTAGCAGCGCTTGTGTACAGAGTGGTGTATTTGGTCCGGAAGGATTTAGAGCAGTGTTGAGTGTTTCTTGTTTACTCTCTTGTGTGAAATAGACACGCGTTTTCTGGCCAGCCTAAATCAAGACCACAGGAGTGTTAAAGGCTATAAACCAAAGTAAGAGGCTGAACAATTTTTAACGCCTACTTTGAAAAATGTTTAAAATTACAAAACCTAATAGGCTGGTCACAGAGCATTTTAAAGTTAAATCTTCACAGGTGTTATTTTTTGAACCTCATATTTGTAGGTTCTCTTGCTTCAATCAGAGCTCCCATAATTGGTTTGAGGTTTTCCATTGATATGGGATATATGGAAACACTTCTAGAAGATTATTTACATCATAGTCCATGACAGATTTGTAATTTCCTTTTTTTAAAAACCGTATAGTTGATTTAATTGAACACAGTAAAAAGTATCGTATTTCTTTCCTAAAGGCTTTCAAATCTCTCTGTCTGTATTCAGATTTAGATCAAAGTACTATTTGTTGTTGTTATATGATTATTAACAAGTTGATACAGCTTGGATACTGATTCTGATTGGGCATGTCTGACAATTCCTGACACAAAATCCTCTTCCTATTCTTGCAAGTGTACAATTTTTTTAAACCTCTTTTCCTTATACAGTAAGAGCTTTAAGTTGAATATCAGCATGAGAGAGTTTGTTTTTTGAATTATTTTTTTTAATATAGTTATTATTCAGGGCTGAATCATACACTGTCAAGTGTTTAAAACACAACACTGGCAGTAATTCTTATATGGTTTTGCAGTTGTTCCATAATAGAAATCCTGCTAGAATTTGTGCTGCTCACTGCCTTGTAGTAAGTGAGATTAATTGCTGTAATTCATGAGCCCAAGGTGCTTTTTGTTAAATACTGATTCTTCCTCAAGTATCATTGCTAGCATGAGTGGAATGGATACTCCAGGGAACATGGGGCAAAAGATGAGCTGCCTTTTTAGTAGAGACTACTATCTGTAAAGAGGGGAGCATCCTTGTTAGTTTTGTCCATGGTAAAGTGATGTGAGACAATTCAAATGAAGTGGTTAGAATGGTCATAGTTCTCTGTTGTAAGGTGCACTGAAGCAAGCTGAAAAAAAGACAGGCCAGTCCATGCTGTCAGTCACAAGGACTGTGATACCTGATTGCAGCCAGGTTATCTTTAAATGCAGGAGCTCAGGTGCAGCTGGAAGCAGTGTAGCTGCTGCAGAGCTGGGCTCAGTGAGGATTGTTTTGCCCTGCCAAGAAGCAGTTGACCCTGTGGACACACTTAGGAAATCTGATACACTCTGGAGTCACTGGAACCGCTAGAAAAGTGCGACCTCTTCCTGGTCTCGAAACTCAGGGAATTCTCCGTCTTAGTGACATGACTCCGTGAGAAGGATATGTATTTAAAGTCCTGTACACTTTAGTGGTTTTTCTCTGAAGCCTAAAGTGTTCTTGTTTTAGATTCAGGTTGTTCAAGTTCAAATACCTGTGACCAAAAATACAGATGTCCAAGTTCCACCGAAGCCCACAAGCCTGTAAGTTGTTGGTACTCAGTGCGTAGTATGCCAAGTTCTTGGTTAAATGCAGTCTTAATCTTTCAGTCAAGTTGCAAACTTTGTGGCTTCTCTTAGTTTAAATGATTTGCACGAAGTGTTGCTTGCTCAGTTTGGAATGTGCTTTCGGTTTTTTGTTTGTTTGTTTTTTAATGAAGTATTCCATTGAGGCCTCCCATGGCACTCTGCCATACACATTCATGGTGTGCATGTGAGAACGTTTTCTTTGAGAATGTCTGAAGGAAACTACCTGTACAGCAGCAATTTAACTGAAAGAAGATTTGGTTTTATGCCATGCTGATTTTGTTTTTAAAAGTGTTTAAAAATGACACATACATAAATATATATAGGGGTTTTTTTAATATTGGATATATAAACAAGTTCTGCCAATGAACTGATCACAAATACCTTACAGAGAACGTTATTATCTTTATCCCCTTGATTGACAGTGACACGCAGTAGTAATCTGCCCAAAATAAGGGACAGATCTGGGAATGGAGGCTTTGCTTTTTCAGCCTCAATTGCATGCTCTGACTTGGACTGTATCCCAGGGATTCATGTCCTGTTTGGTGTTTTGACATAAACAGACAGGATTATGCATTCTCAACCTGTGTGTTGGGGGAAGGGACAGATATAACTGATTAGAGGCACACTTTTTGCTGTTGCTTTCTCCGCAGTGCATGCAGCATGATGATAATGTTTAAATGTATTACTCCTTTCTCCATAGATAGACCCTGCATGACAAGATATCCCAACTCCTGAGCAGCCGCTCTCACTTTCCAGAGCTGTTCTTTCCAAGCCCCTGCTTTGGAACCTGATTATAGGAGGTGGGGCAGAGGAACAGAAAGAACTTTTAATGATAGTTGCTAATTAATTACCTTTCAAAGCCTAATCTTTTTCAGATACCTTGCCTTTAAAGACCCTATTGTTTTACCAGGCTGCTTGTTGCCTTGTACTAGTCCATGTAAGACGACCAAGGTTTTTAGGCTCCTTGATGCTTAAAGGTATTGGGAGGTCTGAACTCTAGTCCATCTATAACAGCATACAGAGCACACATAACAGCAGCAGGCTGTGAGGCAACCATATTCCACCACAGCTTGTTTTAGGTTAATGGGTTGAAGTAGTATGGCAAGTGAAGATCTCTAGATATCTGGATGGATGGGGCTCTTCTATAGTGAAGAGAAGCTGGCTGTATGAATTCAAATTAAGAACTACTTTAACCTAGGACAGATGGCACCTGATAGCAGTATTCATATATATTCACATATTATATATATATATATATATATGTATGTATTTACACTCATACATTAAAATGTGGATATAAATATACTCAGCATCTTTGTAAGTATAGAGAGTTCTTGGTAGAAAGCTGTCTAATACTTCAGTATTATCTACCATTAGAAAAGACAATTTAAACAGGTAGGACATTAACAACATGCCTGAGTTTCTGCACCCTGATTTTTTCAGTAGCCTTCACAGTCTTGCTTCCACATAAGCCATCATTTGTAGCACCATCCTCATCTTCCTCCTGCAACAGCTTTTGTTGCCTCTCTTTCTTAGTTCCTTGTTTACCATGTTTTCAGTTATCCCAAGGTGCTGACCAGAAACATGCTGCTCTTCTCACATGTGGTGGGTCAGAGATGCTTTCAGTATCTTGATGCTGTCCAGACATGTTCTGGCACACTTGGGAAAATTGTTTGCAAAGATAAACGGATTACATTCCATTTGGTAGTGCCTCAAAAGTTATGGTTGGATGGGTGATAATATATTCCAGAGAAACAACAGAAACCTGATCTGAGTTTCATCCTAAAAAAAGGGTGTAGATCAAAGCAATGGATGGATGGGAATTTTCCTGATATGCTGTGGAGATTAAAGAACAGAAGTTTGTTTTTCACTGAGGATAAATAATACAGTCTCCTGCAGATAAAGGTCTATATGAGATGCTGTAATTTAATTAGTATTAAGGCAGTGTTCAGAGTGATGTGAGTTTGTTCCAGAAATGTTTTCTCTGTGTTTGAGAAAAGATTATAACTTGAAATTAGAAAGAGGAAAAGGAATAGAGTGCTGGATCTTGCAGATAATGATCTCATTGAGGAAGCTGTTATGGGTCACCTGTGTCTACTTCAAAGCTCTGAGTGTGACCTGTATTGCAAATTAATAAATATGTACTAAGACAGAGTGGAGTATGGCACAGTAAGGCTACTTGGAAAAAGTTATGTCAAGGCATTGTATGTATTCAGCAATTTTCTTTGCAATCCTGCTCTATTTTACAACTTAATCTATTCCCCACTAAGAAGTGCTAGAGATAAACATTGCAGATGCCTTTGTGTGCAGAGAGGAAGGAGAGGCAATTAAAAGTCTGCATGCTGTGAAGTCCCTGGGTTCCAGCAGTGTCTGCACAGACCTTTACAATGTTTTAGGGACCAATTGGTTTTCCTGCTGTCTGGGGTGACCGAACACAAATACTTTTTGAACAAGTAACTCAGTTATTTTCACACTGGCTAAAGTCCTGCTGGTTTGCATAAAGGTTCCCATTTTTATTTACTGATAGCAAAGTCTTGGTGACACAGTGGCTCCTCCAGATCAGACACTGTTGGATTAGTGCACATTATTTCATTTCTGACAAAGAAAGGGCAAACTTCTGATAATGTAGTGAAAGAACCTGAGGCAGGGCAATATCTGGTATTGGCCTCCATCAAAGACAAGGAAAAGCACAAAAGGACAAAACTGCTGGCCATGGTCTGAATCAAACGGGGTTGCCTCCAAGAGTAGCAACTTGAGAGGGCTTTTCTTTCTTTTAACTTGCTCCCTCCTATGTCATTACTGAGCTAAGAATTTTCTTTTGAATAATAATAAATGGGGTAATTTGCTTCAAGAAA